GCCGACAGGAGCCAGTTTCTTCAGTGTGTTTGAGGGAGCAGAGGAGAAACTTGTGCTGACAGTCAAACAGACGGTGTGACCAGCAGAAGAAGATGGAGGGATGCCTGACACTCGTTTTACTCTCCTTCATATTCACTCTAACCACATCTGGTATGTACAAAATAGACAGTAAGAGGTGAAATTATACTTGTCTAAATTAGAAGTTTATCTATGTTGGCCTTATATCACTAGAAACTGAATAGATGCCTGTGTAGTATCTACAAACTATATCTCATGACAATAGTTCATTAATTGTCAGTTAAATTTGAGCTTTTACAGACTAACAATTTAATGACAGGATTATTTGTATATATTCTCTCGTCTATCTTGAAGTACATGTATATTTGTATTTACTAACTTTTTTATATCTTATGTTTCTCAACATTGCAATATTCTTCTTGTAGGTGGTTAAATCCCTTTCTCTCTTCTTTGTACAGATTTTGAGACTGTTAGGTTGGTTGGTGGTAACAGTCCCTGCAGTGGTAGAGTGGAGGTCCATCATGATGGTCAGTGGGGAACAGTGTGTGGTGATGACTGGGGTATGACTGATGCTAAAGTGGTGTGTAGAGAACTGGGATGTGGAGAGGCTGTTGAGGCTCTGGGTGGTGCTCATTTTGGACCAGGATCAGGACCAATCTGGATGGATGATGTGGCCTGTACTGGATCAGAGTCTACACTGAAGAACTGTGCATCAAGTGGATGGGGTGTAAGTAACTGTGGTCATCATGAAGATGCTGGAGTCAAATGCTTAGGTAAGACAGTCTAATTTCTTTAAATGTTTTATTATAAAAAAATATTTAAAGGAACTGATGTTTATCTCAATAATGAATTAATTAGCATCACACATTTTGTTACATTGATATTTACTTATGTAATATAAACACAGGTCGCCACCCCAGACTCGTTAATGGATTTCACCTGTGTTCTGGGAGATTAGAAATTCTTCAGGGGAACACATGGTACACAGTGTGTGCCGCTGCCTTTGACCAGCAGGATGCAGAGGTTGTGTGTAGAGAGCTGGACTGTGGGGCTCCTGTACAGGTGCTGGGAGCAGCTGCTTTTGACAAAGGAGACACTCAGATGTGGACACAAGAGATTCAGTGCAGAGGCCACAGATCACACATGCGACGCTGTTCATTGTCAACTTCAGCTCAAATAAGCTGTACCCAT